TAAGGAAACACAACTCTCTAAAGAGAATATTATTGCAAATATTTCTATAGTTACACGAAACCTCTAACACCAGCTGTTTGAATTGGTAGGATCCTTGGTTGTAGAGACCTTAATTCCAGTGTGGTGTTAATCAATATTCCTCCAAGAGCAAAGTTCAAAATGAGATTTTCTCTTTACAAAAATACCTTACTGCAGTAGCCATAATTAATAGAATAAACTTTAGCTGTATTGTTTGCAGGGTAATAGTGCTGACATTTCAAAAGGGGTGACCCAAATGTAACCCAGAAGCGCAGAAATAGAAATTATTTTCATTTAAATGTTTGTTCTTCGCTGAAACTCATTTTATGAAACTGTGTTAGCATTAACTTTCTGATGCAGACTATTTTTGTATGGCTCTATGGCATATGCCACATGAGCTTAGCCTCAGTTTCCTTCTGTTTCTCCAATGAACTCATCTGCATAAAATTTTAAAGATCTGCTTGTCCTTCTGCTTTGCAAAGCTGATTCCAATCTTCTTGACATCAACACAACCAGGAACACTTTCTGTGTTTTTTGAGGTTTGAAAAATTATTCTTTCTATCTTTTTAGAGGCTGAGCTTTCCTGATAGAGTCTTCAGAGGGCTCTGTCAGGAGTTCTGGGTTTCTTCCTTAGCTCCTTCCCCTGTTTTTTTTGCTTGCTTCAGGTTTCACTTGAAGGTTTGCTGTTTTAAGAATGTATAAATGCACCTTTGCCTGGTGCTTGTTACCTTTACAAGGTATCAAGTACCAAGCCTATTCTGATAGTGCTGAAAGTCTGGTTCTGGGCTTCTGACTCATCCAGCTTTGGGTGGTCTCTTCAGCTATGGGATTCTCTACATCCAGGAGAAAGCTGGGTTTGTGTACAGCCTCAGGTGCTTGCATTGCTCTCTTCAGTGGAGAGCAGGACGTGTGTGCACCTGAGGTGCACCAGCACAGCAGACCTTGCTCTCTGCAGGCATGTTCACTCAGCAGGGTGCATCCTCAATCAAAGCTCTTTGTGTTTGCTTGATAAAAGAAAAATGGTTTATTTTCAGGCTAGTACACCTCAAAATGCTGGGGCTGTTACGGTCTAGTGGAGGGCCAAACTATGGTTCCCTCTTATTTGTGAAAGATCCTACTGTGCCCAAGGGCCATCGCTAACCCTACACTGCAGAGGGGCTATGAATAGTAGCAAGGTTGTAGCAGCATGTGCACTGCATCCCAATGAGATTCTACTGCTTTCTGCAAGAAAAAAAATAGCAGATTTCCTTGATGAATGGACAGAGATTCATACACAAGCCACAGGATTCACTCTGAAGAAGGGGAACATTTAAAGATTAAATACAAAAGAATCTGAAAGAATTTGCCATTGACTGGTGATTTTTGCATGGGTGGACTTTGCTGCTGAGAGTAAGTGCAACGGAGACATCTCAAATGATTTTTTTCCACGCTTTTCTGAAACTTTTGACCATGTGGGCTGAGCTTCTAACAGGATATGAATCTGCGTATCATAGCTCTGATTTATATTCTTGGATAGAGCTATTATTAAGGTGTCATATGAACAGATGGGACATGAATGATGAAGCTCAGATTGGGTAACTACCAGTTGAGAGGAAATGACTAATTGAACTTCAGAGAACAAGAAGTCTGTCTTCTTGCAGTCAAAATATGTGAAACAAAAATACGTATTTGTCCCTTCCATGTAGCTGAAGATCTGTTTCTTCTGCTTTTGACAGCATGGAACCTTTATGTCCATGTTGGCAGCTTGTCTGACTGCAATAATGTAGAACATACTGAAGTTTGTTTTAAATAGAGGCTGCATATTTTGAAGATTATGTAAAGTATTGCTTTTCAGCAGCTTAGTGCAACTAACTGTTAGGTATCTTATAAGTTCTGTGTGATGTGGACTATAAAGATGGGGAAGTTCTTTACACTTCAAATCTAATTGTTGTGATTATAAACTGGAGACATTTAATGATTTTCTTCTCCTCTATAAGCTGTTTTTCATTGCCCTAGAATCCAATGAAAATAATTTGGACTTCTTGTGTTTTGTAAATACATTAGGCAAACATCTTTAGAATTCTTATATTAAAACTGTGAAAGCTACACAGATCAATGCTTTCAAATGCATTATGTCATAAAATAAATTGAATATCCTCAATTTCCACTTCCATTAACTCCTACCTGTATCATAAACTCAATCTTGTGTGCCATGTTTAAATTTTGTCAAGTGTGAGTGTCAAATAATGTTAATTAATTGGCATAATTAGCAATTATAAAACTGTAGCACTTGAGGAATTTGAGTCTGAGCAATGTGGATCCAAGCAGTGATTCATGTTGCTAACGGTATAATCACAGAGGACTTGACACGTTCAGATAACGAACTGGAGCTTTAAAACCAATGTAGTGCACTTGATTGACCTCAATCTATGATGTGTCTGGTCAAATTGTAAATGCTGAAAAGTGGATGGGTTGCAAGTACAGGAAGAAAATCCCAACTACTTAAGACAAGTAGGAGAAGAGAGTGAATACTTAGTAGCAAAATATCACCAGAGATATCCAGCTTTAAGCATAGGGGTGTTTCTGTGGCTCTGTTTCTATTGGTACTGCAGAAATGAGGAAGATAAAACTATGTTGATAATTTATGTAACCTCTGTTTGTAGAGTTATTATGGGTAAAATATTATTGTTATTATTATGATGGCAGCTACTTTGTACTTTCCTTCATTTATAACCAATAAAACTATGAGTTTATGTCTGTAAATATTTTGAAGTCATCAACTTTGTTGCTGCTACCTAAGAAGTTTAACTTAAGGAGATAATCAGTGGAAGTTATGACATGAAAACAGGAGAGCAGCAATGATTTTATGAGTACAGTCTGAAAATGAATGCAAGAAGAAAAGCAGAACAATTTCTTATTTGTCAGCAGATAAAGTCATCAATGTTTAAGTAGCTACATTTCACTCTAATGAAGAAATCTAGCTTTATGGAAAACATGCTCCTGTGGTTGACATACTTTTAAAGTTGGTAGTTTTTTCTTTGCTATTCAGTTTCTAAGTGTCAGAGCCATTTGTAAATCAGTCTGAATTTCTTCATTTTTGCGTGTTATCCTGAAGGGAAGGAGGAGCATCCAAATAGTTCACCTATGCCAAAGAAAAGTGAAATAGGATTGTACCTATTCTCACTTTTTCTGTTTGTCTGAACTGGCATAATTAATATTTCACTATTTATGCAATTTTACTAAAATTCAAGTTGATTTACTGAGAAATACTGTATTTGCAGCAGAAGTTGGCAAGGAATATGTTTATTCCTGTCCTCTTTACCACATTTTCTTGCTACCAGATGCAACTTGGTTATTGCTATATTTGTAGTTCATCTCTGATATTCCTACAATAAATAATCTTTATTGTTGAAGAAGGTCTGTGGTTTATTCTTGAGCTGTCTCTGCTCTGTAGCTGTTAGTTGTAGTCATTTGCTGCGTTTGTGTAAGGAGTACTACTGCAACAGTAGGTTATTGTGCATTCCAATTGATTTCAGGCCTCAAACTGTTTTTTAAAAACATGACTAATGTACTGAAAGCAGTTGGCCTCAAAGAATCTGCAAAAAAGAAAGACTTGTTTTGTAAACTTCACTTCAAGCAATTAACAATGAGTATTGAATGGAAAAAAAACCCCAGTCTTTGAGCAAAAACTGACATTATATTTAAATTAGAATTGTGTGTTAGTTGTCTGCAAATAAATGTCTTTGCCCAGCTGCAAATCACAGACATTAAGGCCCCACAATCATGAGTTGCCACTAAAAATAATTCTCTTCCTGCCTTTTTATTCTTTTGTAAATCTGTGCAGACTTGGGGACTTTGTTTTGTTATATTTTCTTCCTCTGTTGTCTTTGCTCCATCCCTAACAGCTGGGAGGGGAAGTTGCAAAGCAATTACAAATAGATGGTTTGTTGCTTATAAAAATGAAGTTGTAGAAGAATTAATTTTGAATTATTTTTTTACCTCAGTTGAAAGAAACTGCAGAAATTAGTAGACACTGGAATTTATACTGGCAGGTAGAGTGAGCAAACAGCACTTTACTGTAGTTCTGAAAGTATCAAACATTTTATTTTTTTTGGCCAGCTACACTAACTTCAGAGTAACTACCACTAAAAAAGCAGTTCTGTATTACTTGGAAAGATTTTTCTGGATCAAAATAGAGAATTTTTATATCTTGTTGTGTTAAATTTTGTTAAAGACACTATGACCTGGAAGATCTTTCCCATTTTTTCACAGAAGGAGCGCTATATTTAAGTTACACAGTGCAATGGGTACATACAGAATCCCAGAGTGGTTAAAATACCTTTAAGAACTTCATCTCAAAGATAGCATTTAATGTTTACAAAACATAAATATGCTGAACAGAATCTGCTATTTATGACAGGGGACTCGGAGTTGTCATTGTCTTTACACAGATTGGCATTGCCAAGTGACTCCAACATGGGCAAAAAATCAAATTCATTTGCTAATACTTTAGCTGGTAGAATTGGTGGGGGAGAAGGGAGTTTCTGCTTCTGTTTCAAAACAAATGTGACAGCTCTGGAAAGCACATTTTTAAAATCAATCTGAAATATAAATAATGCTTAATCATGAAGCAGCAAAAGCATTGCTGTTTCTGAAAGACAGAAAATTGAAGATACACTTCTTGCCTTGGAAGTGTCTCTTATGATTACAATTATTCTGTCCCTGGACCTAAGCAGAAATTCAGTTTTGCAATTGCAAGTTCTACAGTAATGCCAGCAAACTGAATAAACCTTTTTTGAATAATTGTTGTATTTATTTTCAGTTCATACCAAATTCACTTTTTGTAGATGATATCTGGAGGAATTAAATCACCTTTTTTTCCCTTTAATTGGTTCTCTTAATCCAGAATTTAAATTTATAGTAAAGAATTTGTAAGTATTTGTTTATGTATTATATTTTGCATTAATTTTTGCTTTTCTTCCCTGTTTTTGTTTCTTACTTAGGTGTATGATTGCTGATGAGGTAAGTGATGTTCCTGTTCCTCTAACACTGTCTTTTCTGGTCTTGATGCACTTTGTGCAGATGTGACTTTTTTTGTCTGAGAGGTGTGGGCAGAAAGGCTGGTAATAAAAGAATCCTAATTTTGTGATAGATATCAGCAGATATCCTGAAAATACCTAAGTGAGGCAAAAATTGAAACCTGACATAAGTTTAGAAGAATCCTTGAGAAAACTTAAAAGGTTACTTTTAATTACAGGTTAAATCTCCTGTACAGTTAAATTTTAAAAACAGTGACTCAGTTGATTTTTTTAAAGTGCTTTATAATTGCATAGCAAGTTATTTTTAGTGCATTATTAGACATTCCTGGCCCAAAGAGATTTTTAACAGATATGGTTTCCAAAGATGATTTTTTTAAACTGCTCTAATCAAGTAGTAATAGTGAAATTCATTGTGTCCATACATTTAAAAATATATGTTGTATTCCATATCAGGGAAATAGGAGTCCAGCATTTCGTCCCCCAGATAAAACATTTTTGTAATAATGTTGTTGAATTGTTCAGTATAAAACCTTTCTCAAAAAGAGAATTGCTGTAGTCTCACAATTCTAATTTGGGTTTTCTTGACACACTAGGAGGGAGAGGGAGATGAGTTACTGGGATTTAAGCATCTCCTCGTACCATAAAAATCTCATTACATCTGTAGATAAACTATTCTGGCATAGAATGCAAAATATCTAGGAGCTGTAGAGAATACAAAAGTATTCAGGGGAAGAGAAAAGGGAAGCTTGGGAAAAATCAAAATATCAACAGTAGCTATTTTCTTATTAAAACAGTTTATTTCCCTCCTTGAACTAGAAAATGAGCTGTGCTTAATTATGTTAGCAATAAAAAGTCCTGGAAGGTACATTATTCCAAAATAAAGATTGTCTATTTTGTTATGACAATAGGTGTGCCACTGGAGGAAGTATTGTGCACTGGTGTGTATGCTGTGCTTTTTGACATATTTCTAAATAAGAAAATGTTGGTAAAATTAAATATCAGTATTGTGAGCTCGTATGTAAAAAGAAATTATGGGGGAAAACTCAAGATCAGAGAATTACTGTACACATCCCTGGGCTGTGTAACTGTGAAAGGATTAAAGTAAGATAAAACCAGTATTTTTTGAAAGGTGATCTACAAATATGTTTCTATTTCTTCTCAGAGTGGGGAGAGACAACATTTTTCCCCCAAAATTTCAGTGTCATCCATTTCCATGTGTGTGAAAGATGGGTTTATATCAAAACTCAAGACCATAATATTTTCTCCAGTTTTTCTAATCTCTCACATTGTTACCTACCTGCTGCTCAGCTCTGTGGGATCTGCATCCAGCCCTGGGTGTGCTGATGATAAAAGCCTTGCTTTTATTCCATATTCATTTCAACCCACTGTCTGGATTATCACCAGGGCATGCACAGCCTGAGTTAGGGACACAGCCATGGCAGGAAACTAAAACTTAGTCTTATTTTGTTGGGGTTTTTTTCACTTGGAATTATTTTCAGATGACCTAAGAACTCCTGGTAACACAAGGGGGACTTGCAGGAAGATTTTAATTAAAACTTGGAATTTTGACTGAAAACTGAGTATCACAGTAGCTTTCCTATTATTTTCTTTCTAGTAATAGTAGAAAAATTCATTGTTTTATTTTGTACTTGGGAAATCTCTTTATTACATCATTAAGTCAGTCCATTTAGACTCAATACTGGAGATGTAAGTTGTTGTTGTATGTCTCACTGCTATAAGTAGCTAGATAGCAGCAAATCCACTCCAATCTCCACTGGACTCCATGGAAAACCTGCCCAGAGCATTTTAAGGCCCATCTCTGCTTTGGTGTTTCACAGGAGTTGGGAACTGTCTCTTGCCATGTGAACAAGCAGAGAAAATTGCTGCATTCTTTGATAAAATCTGGGGAGGAGGAGGGAAAGTGTGTGATATCTTTTAAACAAAGCCCTAAATTCTGAATCTCATAATCATCTGTTGCCATGATTATTCACAGATGGGAGCATTCCCACCTTGGCAATATGTACTTTCCTGTTAAATGTAAATCTTTTGACTCTTCCCCTTATCTGTACATCTGAATTCTCACTTTCTCATCTGTGGTGCAGGCCAAGGAGAAACCATCAGCCCTGGTGAATCAGAGCAGTAGTTTCTTTTTGTTGCCTCACTGGGTCAAACCCAGAGCTCTTTGTTCTTCACTTGCCTATGCAATTGAGGACAAAGTTGTTATTGTAAGAAGGCATCCTAAATTTTTCTTTCCTTTGCATAGTCTTAAAAATGCTTTTGGTAGCTTAACAAATTAAAGAGTTTGATTTTTTTTTTTAGTCTCTCCTATTAAGACTCTGAACTGAAAATCTTCTGAGATGAATGGAAATAGTTCTTCTGACTTTGATGAGCTAACCAGATGCAATACATGTATTAATACATTCAACTAGGAAAATCTTGTTTCATAAAGATGATCTGTGGTAACAAAGTGATAATTAAATACATCTACATAAGCAGCTCTTTGACTGGGTTTCCTTTATTTGGTTCTGTCTTTGCAAAATCTTTTGGGCTCTTCTGAATGGAATATGCTTTCTGAGCAGAGACTTCTGGTTTTAATATTGTTTTTTCCTTTTCTTTTCCCAGATGGGGCTAGGAAAAACAATTCAAGCAATTGCCATTTCATATTACTATAAAAATGAATGGCCTCTCTTAATTGTAGTGCCTTCCTCTCTGAGATACCCTTGGGTGGATGAGATGGAGAAGTGGATTCCAGAACTCTCTCCAGATGACATTAGCATCATTCAGAACAAAACTGATATTGGGTGAGTACACTCTGTTCTTCTCTAGAACGGCTTGCTCACCACCCCCTGCTCAGGGCTACCCTCTGGGCTATCAGAAACACTCTCTGGGCTATCAGCCACTCCTCCCAGTTTTCTGTTCTTGTATTATAGTAGTTACTCATTTTCATTGAAGTTGAGGCATCTGATTTTTGCGAAGTAGCAAATGCTTGTCTTCTGAAAATTAGATTACTTCAGTGTGTCTCAGATTGAACATACACAGTTATTTCTCAACTCTGATGAACTCATTAGCTTCTGTAAAACATTTTGGGAGAACTTCTGGTGTACATTACAAAATAAGGAAGTAATCACTGTTAGAATTCCATTTAGCGCACTGAGAAAATTTGAAAGTTCGAATAAGTAATCCCTAAATAACTGAAAAGGTCATTGAGACCTACGCTTTCTATCTTTAGATTTAATAGCATGAATTCATCAGAGAGGCTATGTCTTGGGTGTTATTAGAATAACTCTCCTATTACCCTGAATTGCAAGGGTGGTTTTTGTCTGCTTTACTGTAAATGACTTGGTTGATTTTATGCTAATGTTTAGATGATGTTCTAAAACTTTGGTGTGAGGGAGACTCATCTTCATGTTTTCTGGGAATATCAGAGAGTGACTTGACTGCCAAGATGTGCTGTTTGGAATCTTCCTGGTAACCACAGAAATCCAACTAAAAATACATTTTGAAAGCTTCATCAAAGGGTAATTCCTACTACTAGTCAAAATTTAAGTTCATTACAGGAAATGGAAAGTAAAATTAGCTTTTTTTTTTAAAGGTGTTTATCTGAAAGGTACTTGGTGCTTATAGTGCTGGATGCATAAAGGGGAAATGTGGACTAGGCAAAATGATGGGAAAGTTAAATGGCAGATGAAATTCTGTTCATTTTAAGATTTTTTTTTTTTTAAAGAGTAGCTTAACTACTTACCTTAACAATTATTAGGTATTTTTATTCAAAAACAAGGAAAGATGAACACTTGGGTTTCTGCTCATTTAACTCCCAGGAGGCTTCCTAGCTATAAGTGATGTTACTGTTGAACTAATTAATATTTTAACATTAAAAAGTGTTTCATGCATTTGTAAGAAAATGTAAAAATACAGCTGCCAAATTTGGTTTAGCATTTCATTAAATTCTGCTTCCATATGTTAAGCTTTGATTTTTCTCAGTTTAATACTTTGCTTTTTTAAAAAACTTCAAGAACTAAGTTTACTGCTTGAGTGTTTTTCTTCTTGATTAAAACAGGTTAAAATAAACTTAGGCATCAGTTTAGGTTTGTAATTTCTGGCCAAATATGAAAATGGAAGTTTCTTGAATAAACTGGTTCCACTAAAATAAATAAGTTTATTTGTAATTTTTTTCTGTACCCTTCAGAAAGGGTAAGGGAAATTTCTGCTTTCCTGGTTGCTACATTTATCTGTTCAGTGACAAGCCAGAGTTAGCAGTGCCCACAGTGCCAGTGCTCAAACCACTGCACCTTCCATATCCAGGAACATGAATGTGTAGCTGCATTTACTTTCTTCCTCTTAAATCCTCAAGGAAACTTCAGCTTGCTTGGTGTCTTGATCTCTTGCTACTGAAGAACAAACAGAAATGATGCCAGCAGGGCAGTGCTGTGTGACAGATGGGTGTGACAGCTATGACCCCATCCTGGTGACTTGTGTGTCTAACAGCTTGGAGTTCCTGTGCTGCTCCTGAAGGGCCACAGTGCTCTCTAGTGATTTGAAAATCAGTTCATGCCATGGACCTGTGTACATCTCGAAATTCGTTATTAAAAGTTCATTTTCAATGAAATACTATTTTTTCACCTTGTGCCATGTTGACTCCCTGCTTCCAGGGTTTTTTTTTTTTTTGTTTTCTTCTTGTTCTATTTAAGCAAAAAAGCTGGATAACAGCTCTGACAGGAATGGTTTTTCCAGGTTCAGCCCAGTCTGTACTTTCACAGTGCCCAAATACTCAGGGACAGTCTGCTTAATCCTCTCAGACTGCTGGTGAGGGGACTCTCTGTACCCAGAGCAGCAGAAAGCTTGCAGAGACATAATTGAAGTAAGAATTATTTCAGGTGTTTGGCTGCTAAGTAAGATCTTGGCTTGTGTGTAACTTTTTGTCCACAAAGTGGATTTTTCCAATGGGATGCCCCCAGAAAGGAGCACAGGGTGAAGCAATGGATCCAGTTAAATGAAATTCCTTTGAAATGCAATGTGTGTCTTCTGAAAATAGTTATGAAATGTGTGTGGTTGAGAAGTGTGAGATGTTTTAAACACCAAAAGCTGTTGTTGTTAGCCTGACAGCCCACGTGTCAATCAATCCAAAAGGAGACACACATACCTTCTGAGATTAATTTTTTATAATCTCTCTGCTATATTAATTGTTCTGCAGTAAAATTTTACTAAGAAAACTTGTGTATTTTCTCTTTCAGGGGAATATCAACAAGCAAAGTAACAATTCTGGGGTATGGGCTGTTAACATCTGATGCACAGACTTTGGTAGACACTTTGTACAGGCAGAAGTTTAAGGTGGTTGTGATTGATGAGTCGCACTATATGAAATCCAGAAATGCCACCCGTAGCAAGATTTTACTGCCAATTGTTCAGAAGGCTCTCAGAGCTGTTCTCCTTACTGGAACTCCCGCTCTAGGAAGACCTGAAGAGGTATTTGACATGGTGTCTTATATTTGTTTTAGGTTTGGTTTTGTTTGGTTGGGGTTTTTTTTTTGTGGATAGTATCAGTAATAAATGTTCAGTTTTTTAATTTCGCTGAATATATTCAATTACATGCATTATGACATCAAAAGTTGTACTGGCTGCATCAGGAAGGACAATTATAACAAACTAAACCAATTTTGTTTGAGTTGATTTACAAATTTGTTTCAAGCTTGTGCACAGGTGACTCGAGATAGTGTTTTTTTTAAGAAATTAATCTTCCATGTAACAACTTATTATTGGGTGAAATAAAAAATAAAGAGTCTAAGCAGAAAACTGCTTGTTTCTCCTGGGTGGAGGAGTCTACAGAGCTTAAAAGAGTTATATAAATAGTATTTTATGCTTCAGAATTCCTCACTATGTAAATAGAACTTATGCCAAGACCTTTTATGAATTTAATTTGTTCAAAGAATTCATAACTTGAAGAAGATATCTGTGATATGGAAAAGAGCTGGGTATATCATGAGTACTTAGCTAAAAATTTAATACTAATATTTCTGTTTATGGTTGTGGATAATTACTAAAACTTCCTGTACAAAGACATTGCAACCAACCCTGGATGCAGAATTAAAGCTAGAATGTGTTCTAACTTTATATAGTACATGGATACTGGTCTCAGTATCCATGTACTATATAAAGTTAGAACACATTCTAGCTTTAATTCTTGTTAAAGATCTTTAAAGGAAATTCCATACAACCTGTCCTTGACCACAGCAATAAGATCAAAATTCACGACCAAATAGAAAAAAATTTGAGATACTTCATTTTTAGTGATACTGATGTTCTTCAGTGGCTTACAAGGCAGAGTATAAAAAGCATTAAATGTCTTTAATCAGTTTTGTGTCATAAGAAGAATATTTGTATAAAGTCTTTAAATGTATAGAGAATTATCTCAGAAGCCAGGAAGCTTTGACAGTATAGCAGCTTGTAAAGCAGGATTCTTCCTGGTTAAAGTCATCTAAACTGATATTTACCTCCTGCTACTCAGCAGGTAAAAAAAGCTGTGAAATTTTTGGTCTGCATTGATACTGTCCATTTTCTGAAGAAAAACTTAAGAATTGAGAAGGTTTTTCATGTATTTGAGGAAGCGGTCCACTCATGCAATACCTGCACTGAAGCTTTGCAGAAGCCCATGTACCTGGCAAATGATAAAAACTGTATTTTTAGGAATAACTTCATCTCATCCATGTTTTCTTGTTGAATGTGAATCTTTTCCAAGCTCTCAGTGCTGTTACAGGTCTGAGTGCTCTGTTCTTTGAGGGCTTCCCACAACTGTCCTCTCTGAAGACTCTTGTATCCTGTGGAATTTCTTTTGCATGCAGGCCAAGCAGTGTGGTTTTTGTGCACATATTAAATATAAACTTAGCACAAGAACCATATATTGATTATTTTTGATTAGTCTTCCATTCACAGGCAATTTTAAATTTTTCACTGTTGCTGTTTTATTTTTTTATACAGCTCTTCATGCAGATTGAGGCACTGTTTCCAAGAAGGTTTGGAACTTGGAATGAATATGCTAAAAAATACTGTGATGCTCGTGTCAGGTATTACTGCCTTTGCTTATTTACATTCTTAGGAGCATCTCTGACTTTTCTTGTCATGCCAAGTGAGAGACTCAGTTCTCTCTATTGCTCTATCACACCATCTTGCTTTGAAACCCAGGGTCAGCAACCATCCCCTCCATCAAAGAGCACTGAGAAAAGGATGATACTGATTAAATTAATTCATAAATGCTGTTAAAGTTTGAAATAAAGTTTGAAGCATTCTGTTAAGTAAATTTATTTATACATTTACTGTTGTTAGTATGAGCTGTGAAGGTTTTGCCTTCAGAACTGGAGTTTTTGACTCTCAGTCTTAAGCTCATGGTCATATAATAAATTATATCTCTCTTTATTATGGGATCCAGGTTTCTGGTGACCTCACCACATTTGGGTTGGAAAAAAAGTCCAGTACTTGTCTCTATATTTCACAGGCTGACTGTCTTAGCTAAAAATTTCATATCTCAAATTTTGCATGTATTCAGAATAACAGATTTTTGTCAGCTAAATTGGCAAGCATTTAGATTTAATTTTTACAATAATAATTACATGGTTTCATTTTCATAAAACTTGTTTTTCTCCCTCCATCATATGCACTTTATCAGTATTTAACTTCAAATAACATGGAAGATGACTGTCTAATTTTCAGACAGAGAAATGCTATTTTTTCCATGGTGTTTTGACTGAATGCATCTGTAATTTTCACACCACAAGTGCGCGTGGGTACAGCATGGTTAGCTACTCAATCATAGATGATTATCTTATTTTTGGAATACCATAAATGTAATAAAAATCAAGTTCAGGGTTTGGCAAGCTTTCAGTGAATAACTTTTTCTTCATGACTTGGCTGGAACAAAACATCCTGTGGTAATAAACTTGATAGGATTATTTTATGTAGCACTTCCTGTGAAAATTTGGGTGGTTTTTCCTTAGGTGTCCATAGGCACCTGTTTTAAAGATGAACTCCAAATTATTTCTGTGAGGTTTAGCCTGCCATTTCTGTCTTATCCCCAATGCTGAGGGTGGAGGAAGGAAGCCTTTATAAGGACAGATATAAATAGACCAAGGAAGGGATATGAGCAAAAGATGTTGCTGTCTTCCATCTGTGCCATTCCCATTTCACCAGTGCAGAAGTGACTCCCTCAGCCTCTTTCCCAAATGATTATATTCAGCTAATTCAGCTGATTAGAACACTGTTGATAAAGTCAATAAGGCTTTAAAATCTCTAAAAGGTTGTGGGGGTTTTGTGGCTGTTTGTTTGGTCTTTTAATAAAAATTACATGCTTTTAACACATTCTTCTGGCCCTGGAAAATGCTACCTGGGCTTTTCTCCAAATCTGTCATGTTCATTATTTTATTGTCTCCTGGTGATGCTGACAGAGAAAAGCTGCTGTTCCTGCTGCAACCCTTCCTCAAAAACAGCAAAGCAAGGAAAGAATAAGGAAGATGGAGTTAATAAATTTGTTCTCTTTTCAGCCTTTAGCTTCTTAATGTTGACCTTCTTCCTCTAACTTTTAAAGATGATAGCGTAAGCTTTAAATCCTGTCTGGCAGTAACTAAGAAGGAATTCTTAGGGAGGGAAAAAAAGGAATATTGATGGTGATATCTGCAGTTTTCATGATGGCTTTTCTGTCTGTAATATAATAAAGATTATTCTCATGGTAGTATAGTCTTCTCATTAGTCCATTGAAACAGGAGTTCCAAAATTAAACCTGAAACTTCTGTTCCCTGTGGACAGTGAAGTATGAGAAGCTGGGAATAGACAGAGGATTGTGTGGAGGTGATGGGCAGTGACTCCTGCAGGCAATGGTGGCTCCTGAGGGATTGAAGCACACTTTCATATCCAGTAGTGTGCTTTAAAATTTATTATGTACTGAAGATTTCTATTGAATTTGGAAAATCTCATGTTTAAACTCTGTATTAATTTATCATTTTCAGGTTTTTTGGTAAAAGAAGGCAATGGGATTGTAGAGGAGCTTCAAACTTAGAGGAACTACATCAACTTTTAAGTGAAATAATGATCAGAAGACTGAAGAATGATGTCCTAACTCAGTTGCCTCCCAAAGTCAGGCAGCGTATTCCATTTGACCTCCCACAAGCTGCAGCAAAGGTAGATTTTCCACTTCTGCTAAAAATACATTTGTATAAACATGAATAAATACAATGAATAGGTACATATATTTGTAATACATTAGGGAAATTACATTATTTGTAATACATTAATGGAAATATCTATGTATGGATATGTATTTTTATGTATGCATGTGTATTATATGTAGTTACAAAGATTGTATGAATATAAAGCAGAGTATCTCTGTTACTGTTTTTAAAATATAACACAAAGAACACTAATACAGCAATTCTTTTTTTCATCAATGGTAAAATTTGTTCGAATTCTAGTACAATCATATTTTCTGTCTTCTTTTCCCATAGATTTTGAATCCTGCATTTACTTTTAGCCAGTTTTGATAGAGTTCTCCAAAGTTCCTAAACATTTCACACTTAAAACATACCTGTACTTTGTACTCTGTGTCTAACCACTGGTCTCTTCTGCCAATTAGAATCTGAATGCCACTTTTGCAGAGTGGGAGAAATTAATGAGAAGTCTGAGTTCAGATGCCTCTGAAAGCCACTTTTCTCAAGTCATGAATCTAATCACACGCATGTATAAGGAAACAGCCATTGCCAAGGTGAGCCTGCAGGTCTTTCCTTAATATCCCTAAAATATCCAGTGTGTGTTTTTAACCTCATAAAATTGGTTTTATTGGCCAGAATATGAGATGAGGTTATTTGGTTTGTTTTATAATCATGACATGGAGAAACACGCTCTTTTTCCCTGTATGTTTATGGAATAGGCAGAACCCCATTACAATGAAAAAAGAAATCTGAAGACCACTGCAATGGGTATTGCATTAACTGTTGATCACTGATAAATTTTGTTATTAACTGTCATCATTGCTTTAATGGCTTTTGCAAAAGATAGTGAAAATTACATTTGACACAAAAGAATTCTATGAATGCTTAAATAGAGCAATATTTTATGATTATGGTATCGTGAACATATCAGATTTATTCTTTCAGTTTTGATATATGGCTTTGTGTGTGTGGATACAGAAGTTCTGATTTAATATTATCTTGTCTGTTTGAAATATGTTTGTTTTTCTCAAATATGGATTAAAACATCAGATAATCATGTCTGAATTAAAAGGAGGTTTATCTACATCTTAATCTGGAAGAAGTGCCATTTAATTTTATAATCTTTTGAAGATGAATTTGTGTTTTTTCTCTCTCTGAATGAGTAAGTTAGTTTTCTCAAAGCCATCAAGTTGTGATATTTTTTGAAACAAAATAATCTGAATTATTTGATTCTTAGCAATGTCAGTGTTTGATAAAGTGTTACATAGATAACAAAAGATACGGAAATTTACCTTTTCATGTTATAAGGAATTGAAAGACATGAAAATAAAAACTGTCTTTTTGAATATTTTGTGTGTCTCACTAATGAAAACACTTGCTCACTGCAGGCAGGAGCAGTCAAGGACTACATCAAAATGATGCTTGACAATGATAAACTGAAGTTCCTTGTCTTTGCCCATCACCTGAGCATGCTGCAAGCCTGCACAGAGGCAGTGATAGAGAGCAAGGTAAAGCTTTAACAAATGTGCACACAAATTTACCTTCACTTACACAAATGCTGTGAGCTGTGTTTGAATTCAGCAGAACTGCACACAAGCACAGCAGTGGAAGGATTTTATGTGTATATGGATCAGTGCCGCTGGATTAAAAGGGATCATGTGGTTCTGAAGAACTGCTTTGTGTTTAAGGATTATGTAAATACTCTTGTATCTGGTATGACTTTATTATTATATCAGTGCTGTAGGCAATTGTTTCACAAATTTTTCTACTAGTATGCTTCTGTCTATTTTTGAGGGGTTTTAACAACACACTATCATCTCACCTGAATGCTTAATTCAAAGCAGTAAAAATGTTTGCAAACAGCTTTCACCTTATTTTGATTATGGATTCTTAAATATTGCTTGGAAATGGTGGCTAACTTCATTATTTTGTATTTTTATTCTTTTTAACTGTTTGGAATTTAAAAAATGGTGTCAGGTTAATTCCAGATTCTTCTGTGAAATATTCCATTTTAAGATCCCACATTCATTCTATCTTCTACTTTTGCAAACAGAGAATACAAAGCCTACACTTCTCTAGAGAGAGACTTAATTTGAAATCAAAGGGTAAAAGAGTGCTGGTGTATCCTGATCCCCATGACAGGAATAGAACAGTCCTTTTCCTATTTTTGTTGGAGGACGGGGGCAGGGGGGTTGTGTCTGAAAACAGGCACTGATGATGTAGTTTAGTCTCTGTTGTGATGTTACAGGCTCGCTACATCCGAATAGATGGGAGTGTTCCCTCTGCAGAGAGGATTCACCTCGTCAATCAGTTCCAGAAGGACCCCGAAACCCGCGTTGCTATTTTGAGTATTCAGGCAGCTGGTCAGGTAGGGCAGAAGAGAAAATATGAGAACTATTACACTTGAAGAATATAGCTACTGAAATCATTGATGACTGAAGTGGTCTACTGAAGGCAATTTGTCTTCGTGCAATTTGTCCTTTGTAGACCCCGTGTTCATTTCTCTGCACTAATCATGTTAACTGTTCTAAGCCTCTATTGCATTTATTTGAGCTAAATTATGATAAGCAGCAGTATCTCCTTCTTGAATAATTAGAAAAACTCCATCTCTCTAAAAGCACTAGATTAAGAGGAAATAGATGTTATTCCATAATGAAAAGCAGTGTGCAGTCCTTGCACAATATTGAAGTATTTTTTGAATCTGAGGCCCGGGGCAGAATCAAGATAATCAGTCCATCTGCTGTTGAGGACCACCTTGACCACCCTCTTATTTCCATATTAAAATGTCCTGTTCAACCTGTAGTTTGTTAAAGCTAAAGATAATCAGATAATCAGTTTTTGTGTGTGGTACCTTTTTTTTAAGAATGCATCTACTTATCCTGCGTAGGGTTTAACATTCACTGCTGCCACTCACGTTGTGTTTGCTGAATTATACTGGGATCCAGGCCACATTAAACAAGCAGAAGACAGAGCACACCGCATTGGGCAGTGCAGCTCGGTGAACATTCACTTCCTGATTGCCAAAGGAACCATGGACACCCTCATGTGGGCAATGCTCAACCGCAAGGTGGGTGTGCAGCAGGGCCGAGGCATCGGAGCTCACTGTGCCTGGGGCTGCACTCCAGTGCCACAGCAGTCCTGTGTATCTGGAACACTCTCTGAGACAAACTGATACACCTACCATTGCTAATCAGCAAAATGTCCATGTTTGTTCTGATTTAGTCTTTTCTAGCTTTCTGCTCTTCATTCAAGGTGCACAGATAATGAGTCTTTGCCAAGGGAACAGGATAGTTCATATCCACACGAGATGATTGTTTTATCTTCTAGCTCTTTATTGCTGTTGTTTCTCAGTTTACAATTTTAAGGCATTCAGACATTCTACTCACTCATAACAGCTAGAATTTGTTGTGTTTTTTTTTTTTTTTTAATTGAATGAATGTTGTTCCTAAACTAAGCTTCCTTTCTGAGAGGAAGAGGCATTCTCAGATAATACTTTTTCAGTAGATCTAAGATTACACTAATCTTTTCTTCTGTTGCCATTTTCCACAAGTATCACTCAATTGTTGTTAGCAGTTGGAGAATCATGGAATGGTTTAGGTTGGAAAGGTCCTTAAAGCTCATCCTGCCTGGTGCATTATGAGTCTCCTTAAACATGGCAGAGACTGGGCTCAGTAATTCAACAACAATTTATTTTACAAGTTCTGTAACTGAATAATTCTGTATTTGTCTCCACATGCCAAGCAAAACATGTTAAGGCTGTTAGAGGATGTACACAGTGTATATATATTCTCTTTTATCACCAATAAATACTGACATTTTGTGTACAGCTTCACTGTTTGCAGTGTGCTAAATAGAGCACTTACTATTACTGTGTTCCTGCAGGCCAAAGTCACAGGCAGCACCTTGAATGGCAAGAAAGAGAAAATGCAGGCTGAAGAAGGTGATAAAGACAAATGGGATTTTTTGAGTTTTGCTGAAACCTGGACCCCAAATGAAAGTCTAGAAGTTCCCCAAAATGAACTTTTATTTACACATGTAAGACTTCAAACTTTGTTTTTTCTCTTTCCTTTCATTTAAAAAAGTTGTAGCAGCCATTTGCTTCACCTTTCTGTGCACCTCAGACATTACTAATGGAGAAACACCAAAAAAGTAGGAAAAAGTAATGTAAATTCCATTTTAAAACTTAGTTGGGAAAAGTGCTTTGTGGGGAATAAATGTCATCTACATCTTCTGATGGGTCCTTATGTTTTGTTTAGGTGACTGAGCCACCGTCAGAGTCAGATAAGACAAAGTAATTTCTGTTCAAATGACATCTTTGCTAATTGTGCTGAATTAATTGGACTAATATTTTAAACAGTGTTTGAAAGCCTTTCCTTGTAATGAAGATCTTCAAAAAAGGCACACAGCTTATCAGTTCTGTGTATCTGTTTTCTGGTAGTGCCATTTCAGAATTTCCAGGAGAATATTGAAAATGCTTTTCTGAAATCAGGAGAGGAATGTTGAATTGCTTTTTCTGCTCAGTGTTTGTTCTTGAAGTTATCTTTTGTTAAAGATATCTTTTGTTTAGCAGTTTCTGATGCAGTCATAAGTGAGGTTTAGAGGCCTTTTCCAACCTAAATGATTCTGTGATTCTGTATTCCTTTCCTCTTCCCTAGTTTGAAAAGGACAGACAGCATGACATACGTTCCTTCTTTTCCCCCAAATCCTCCACTGAGAAGAAACGCAAAAGATTTTCTGGTGAAGAATTGTTACATAATGATTCAGATTCTTCTGCAGTCACAATAGAAGAGGATGCAGAGAAGAGTGATGAAAACTTGGATTCCTCAAGGATTAGTGAGGTGGAGGCAATTTGTGATGAAGATATTTGTGAACATGAAGCCAAAAGAGCAAAGAGCATAAGTGGATCGACCCCAGTCAGCTCCAGTAATAAAAAGAAAACATCTCTGACTGGAAAAAAGCCTTCTTTGTTTTCAGAAAAAAACAGTCAACTCCGTCCTTGTGGCTTAAATACTTCAAGTGAAAGTACAGATTTAAATAACGTTTGGCATTGCAGTGCTTGCACTTACACTAACAATGCTCTGCTGCCTTACTGTGAGATGTGCCATTGCCCCCAGGGCAGGGATGGTGAGTAAGGGGCGCTGCAGAGGGAAAGATGCATTTTTCATTTCAGTTGTGATCAGGCTCAGAAAAAACAATTTTTTTAAACCTATGACTACACAGAAGTCAGGAAAATATGATACTCCTTAGTCTTGCCTTCCCCAAGGATCTTTTACATGAATCTAACTTGAAACAAGTGAAAAATGCCCGTAAAATGTTAAGAGGATATAAATTCCATAAGGAAGAATATATCCTTTGTTTTGTTTGCAGCAAATATCCCTCTCATCTTCCTTGAGGTTTATGGTTATTCTGAATATAATCAAACAGCAAAACTTTTCTTTACCTTTCAAAGCAGTGGGGTGTTGGAGTTTTATTAACTTGAGCATTGTGTATTTGTCATGAGAGACATTATCTGGAAAATATGTCTTTTCTTTCTCCACCAGCTCACAGCAGATTTCTTTTACTAAATTTATTTAAGCTATCTGGAAACTTAATGAAACATTTTTATAAATATATGCCACTATTTGTCATTTCAGTTGCAAAGGCATGGGTAGGGTTCCTTTTGCTTCCTTTTTTATTTATTTAAATCTCTGGGCTTGTTCAAATAAGGACAACTTCTGAGTTTCACAGGTATAAATCAATGCCTTGGAAAACTACTTTGTGTGCTTATGGTATACAATAACTGTATATAATATAGAATTGCTAGCTGCATTGTTTATTACATATGTGTTTTGACATTAATCTGGCTGCAGGGGATTACATAAATTAAAAGTTGTGTTCCATGTGTTTGTTCTCCTACCATTAAAGTTAGGTCTAACTTGCTAAGTGGTTGCACCATTATAATACTAGAGAATGCAGTGCCGTTCCTTTGTATTTCAGTGATGTGTTCCTGTCTCAGGTGTGTTATTAGGTACCTGTCAGGTAACACAAATCTTTGCTTTGCTTCTTTCTTTGTCTTTAGGTGAGAGAAATGGTGAAGCTCCCAGGAGCCAGATGGAGGAAGGAGTGTCAGAGGAGCTCAGGAGAGATGGAGAGAGAGCAGAAGGCAGAAGAGGAAATTTGGGGGAATTCGGGGCCCAGAAATCTCTTGAAATCAGAGAGCAGCAAGCTGTTGGCACTGAGAAGGAAGAAAGCGAAAAAGAATGTGGAGAAGGTAAAGTGGGACTCTGAAAGAACAATTCTATCCCATTGAGAAACTGAATTAAATGCCTCTGGCATGAAAAAATTGCTTTTAAATAAACCCCTACATCTCCAAAACACAGACGTACAAGCACCAGCATGAGACTTTCTCATTTTGGCCTGGGCCATGCGTTGAATTTGGATGCTGGATAAGCCCAGCCTTTCCACACAGCTCCTGGAGCAAACCAGAGCTGACTGACTTCAGGACTGTGACAAACCAGCAGCTGGGAATGTGGGTGGTTGTACTGGAACTCAGGACAGACAGGCAAACAGATGATGGGTCATCCAGGAGAAACAGAAAAATAAAATACACAAATACCTTTAGAGTTTGCTGCTTGAGCTCTGCACCTTATGTTGTTCTGGAATTAAATACGTGTTAAATATTATTTTAATGTCAGAGTAGAATGAATGAATAAAAATCTTTAATGCCAGCATTTTTTCTGTTGTAGATAATTCGGACACATTCCAAATATATGATGGGCTTATGTTTTGTGCAAGCAAGAATACTGACAGAATCCACCTCTATACAAAGGTAAACCTGAAATACGCATTGTCATTGTCATTTTAAAATTGCAAAGGAGAATGCTGCCCTATGAAATGTTTCTGTATGCTCTCCTTTGTTCTGTTTGATGTAAAAGCATTGATATTTTTGTATTAACTGAAAAGTACAAAAATTAGGTAGTTTATCATTCTAGTTCTTTTTCTCAGTGGAATTAAGTAATAATTCCTTATATACATAACTTCCAAAACTTCTCTTGGCTTACAGAATTGGGCTAAATCATCTGGAACAGAATGATTTCTAGTGACAGTTGTTTAAAATTCCTTTTGTATTATTAGTGTCTTATCACGAAATAACTTGAATAGAGTAACATTCAAATAAAAAATGACAGTAAATCCTAACACACCAAGTAAATAAAATATTGCCACTACATTTTCAGAAAGCTCAACATTGGTGCTACGTGTAAGTCAGTAACTTCCTGAATAAAGCCCATTATCATTAATCTGCAGTGGTGATTTGGTACAGCAACCAGCAGCTGGGAGTTTTCCAGGTCATTATTCAAGGGGAGGTCAGGACATGCCAATTTTTTTCTTTCAAGTGATATTAAAGTTCAGTGGGAAGACTTCTTCAAATTCCCTGAGTGAATCAGCACTAAAGCAGCACAGATAACTGAGGGCAAGCCTTTGGGATAAGACATTTCTATGAGGCTTATGCAGCTGGGAAAGTCAGAAAGAGTCCCAAAGTCCTCTTGTATCTGAAAATTTGTTCTATGTACTTGCAGTATGTGCTGCTGCCTAGCTTCACACGTCTCATTCAGACAAAGATGCATTTTTGGTGGGTTTTGGGCAATTGTCTGGTTTGGGTTTTGCTGGGATTAGAGATTCATTGTGCCAGATACTGCACAAAATCTGTTCAGTGGTGAGACCCCAGAGAATTCTGCTTTGACACCTTCTCTCAAATGCTTATGAATCATCAATAAGTTTCTTGGCCAGATGTACCCACTGGGACAACTTTTAAAAATTAAGTTTTTAATTTTTCAGACATTAAAGTAGGATAAAAAATATTCAAGAATTCTTTTTTTAAATTGTAATGAAGTGACATTCTCCTATCTCCAATCATTCATTTCTGTTAGAATTCAGTCAAGAGGATTGTAATTTCAGTTTAATAAAAGGCAGTTTGTGTGTCTGAACTATTTGCAAAAAAAAAATCAGATCTATTAAAAGTTAAAATGTTCAGCCTTGTTACTTTTAGGTAGATTAATATGAATAATCTTTCTTGTATTTTTGCTGTTATCTCTGTGCCTTATTGTTAATTCTGCAAAAACTTGACCTTGAGGAACTAAATTTAGTAGGAAGGGAGGAGAATTCCCTTGAAACAGATTACTTTTTCTACATTGTGCTACACTGCATCCGTAAACAAAACTGTTTGCTTGTCTAGGATGGTGAACCACTGAATCATAATTTCATTCCACTGGACATACAGCTGGATAACTGGGAAGATTTACCAGAGACTTTCCAGAACAAAAAAAATCGTGCATTGGTAAGAACAAGTTCCACTGGCACAGCAATATAATATTTAATGCAGAAGAAGATTACTTACTTTTACAGAAATAAATGCAGAATACTGCCAGGCCTTGGGATATAGGCAGAGTTTCATCAAAGCAATCTTACAGATGTTGATGTGAATAATTAATTATGGAGTCTGTTACTCTGGCAAATTATTGTGCCTTCTGTTCACATTGCAGTAGCAGAAATTAACCAGACATCATTTCATTTCTCATTTACAGGATTAGTTAACTAACTTTCATAAGTCAACAAAATAACATCTTAAAGGATCTGAATTAAATAGAGCCACACTCTAAATAAGAATGTTCTAGATTGTATGAGAGCTGCAGGCCTGAGCAGGCCTTCATTCTCACTCTCCCTTTGGTCTACTAAGTTTTTGAAGCACTGTCAGGCACAGCTCCACAGAGACATTCAGTTAATTTAGGAATAAAGATCCTGTTCATCATGGGGTTTGAGGAGAACACTGCAAACACAAGTACTCAAGTAAGGAAATCCAGATTTAAACTGGATGGGAAATATTATCTGCTTAACTTAAAATCTGATTTTCCAAACAGAAAACTATCATGCAGGAATAAAACTGATTCTTTCTGTTGGTTCTCCAGCAAGGCTGGAATTTAAATTTGTAATGGGGATACCTGACTGACTGACCCAGCTGTTGTGTGAAGCAGCTACTGAGTGGGTCCCACAGATGGGGACTGTGAAGAGTTACTTGAAAGCACCATCTCTGGTTGTAGGAGCTGTTTCCAGCCAGTGTAGAATGCACTAATCCATGGCACTGTTTTGCTGTAATTAGCTCTGTGCAAAGCCTGTCCTGCTGCTGACTGTTGTGTTCTCTGGCAGATCCTGAGGTTTGTGAAAGAATGGACTCATCTAACAGCAATGAAACAGAAGATTGTCAGAAAAAGTGGTCAGATATTCTGTAGTCCCATCCGTGCTGCAGAAGAGCTGTCTAAAAAGCAGTCGGTGGGCAGCAGCACAAAGAGGTATGTGGAGTTTGGTTTTAATTCCTCCTACTAATTACTGCAGAAAGTTTGATTTATTTAATGTGGCCTTCAGTGGAATGATGCTAAGTCTGAACTGGACTTTCAGCGACTGCTTGTTACAGTGAGAGAGGCAGTCAGGCATGTTGATGAATCTGCTGGAAGTGTCTCCTTCCCTGCCCAGTTCTGTGCCCCATTCAGCAGCTGCTGTGGCTCTTCTGCACTGCATGTTTCAACATCTGGAACTTGCCAGATGTTTTTAAAGGAAAAACCCTGACCTCAGGGCCACAACAGAAAAGTAAGGTCAGAGCATCTTGTTCTCCCCACCTGGAAGCAGAAATAAATCATTACTTGCCATCAGTGAGATGATGTTTTATTCATAATTCACAGCCAACTCTAACCCTTTCCAGTTCTTGTTTTTTCTTTAAGCAGTTCCCTGTGGATGACGTTTCTCAAAACGTGGCTCTCTTTGCTGAGTGTCACTGAAAAGGGCTGGTGTTTGATCCCTGGTGTTAAAACCTAAATGTACCTTTGATTCCCTTTCTTTCCTTTTTCTGATGTGGTCTTCCTTGACAGACCTCAGTGTTGTCATTGCTCTGCACAGAACATATCATGCAAACCATCTAAAATCTTATTTCCCTCAATCCCTACTATTAAATTCCTCAGGGTGACTATTTTGGCTGTAGATAAGAATGAAGTAAATAAATAGTTTGTAATTCCAGTAGTATCAGAAGCAGAGGGTAATAAGTGTTTGTTAACCTCTTGCCTGATTGTGTTCTTCCATGAAGTATAGGAAAAATCTGTGAATGGTGCTAGAAAACCTACCAGGACCCTCAGCAGCCTTGTAGGGTGAGTTGTAGGGTTTGGCAGATGTTCAGTACAGAGATATCCTCAGAAGTTGTCTGAATAGTGGTTTCTGTGAAGCAATTTTAAGTTTTTAACTAAGTTGTGTTTTACAGGGTTTCACATGAAAATAAAGCAGGGAGATCAAACATAACTAATGGAGCAAGGAGTCCTCCAGAGCCTGTAAAGCTTTCTGGATTATCCAGTGTCACTGAGACATCACCTAACTGAACACAATGCCTTTCAGGTTTCACTGGCAGGCAGTATCAAACTGCAGTCATTTTTTAATTGTTATACACAAACCAAGTTACCTGTTCACTGATTAGAATTCAGTTTTAGAAAAAGGTATTTAATATGGAAGTATATAAAGCATATTTGCCCAAGCTTTCTTCATTTCTCATCCAGAAAATGAGGCATGTTTGAAGAGAATGTGCTGTACCAATCCTGCTGCAGCCCAGAGTGCTGTTCCTCGAGGGAGACTGCTCCCTTTGCTGACAGGATTTGTTACTCTCCCAGGTATGTGACCAGGGAGGATGTGGCAGCAGCCTCGCTCTCCAAGGCCAGCAGCAGCGGGGGCAGCGTTCGCCTCATCTCTAAAGAAATAGGAGCTTCTCTGGACAAAGGTGCTTCTCCTAAACCATCCACAAAGTAGGTTCATTAATGCAAGAGGATGATTAAGTTCTTTTGCTGCATTTTTTTTAATGGAGTAAAATTATTTGCTTTGCTGAAGTACAGCAGTTAGATAAGAAACTTGCTGTAGTGCTAATGAGCTCTGCTTTATTCTTCTAACAATTTAGAAGAAACAATTTCATGTGTTGTCTGCTGATAGAGCTGCTAATTAACTGAGTGTGACTAACATAAAACAAGAGAATAGTTATGTGATTCAGTAAGAGAAAACAATGTTAGCTCAGCCCTCCTGTGAGGTCAACATCAAATTGAGGACACCAAATTTGCTCCTATTTTGCCCCAGAATTTTAAAAAAATGGGAACAAAGAAGTGAAAATTCCAAACAGGAGTTATGCTTTTAATATTTTCTTTTGAACAAGCCAGTGTATCCTACTTTGCTTTGAGTAGGAAATTCATAGGCAGCTATAGAGATTGTAAAGAGAAACCAGGATCTTTCCTTTATTACTTCTGTTAAAGAGTGGGCTGAAACATTTTACTTTTGTATGAGTACATCCCTGATAGAAGTCACCATGTCTTTATAAATACGGCATTATTTCAGCTAATAATTGAGTGTAGTAAGATGTGCAGAAGAAAAATCTGCCTTGTAATATTGCCAAATTTTGTTTAAATGGAAGGGTAAACCAAGTAAAGGATTTGCACTGTGCAGGTATCAATCTGAGCAAGGTATTATTTCAGCTAAAATGATTTTTCAGAACATAAAATGTTACACAGTACATAAACCCCCATGAACTGGGCTGCTGAATACATAATTTATCCAGAGCTGTACTTTGTTCTCTGCCATCAGATTGCTTTCGGAAACCGGGAATGATCCCTCAACCCTTCCTCCAGGGCAGACTGATGCTGCAGACTCCTCCCTGTCCAAAGGGTATCTGCAGGCCCTGGACAAGCAGGGGACCCCGCTGTGTCTGAGCTGCCAGCAGCCAACAGCTCAGCCCCCACCCGGCTGCCCGGCCTGGGACACGCGCTTCTGCTGCCACGCCTGCCAGGAGGACTTCTCCATCCGCTCCAGCCAGAGCTACCTCCGCTCCAAGGTGTTCCAGATCGAGCACGGCGTGTGCCAGTGCTGCCAGCACAACGCCCAGGAGCTTTATCTCAGCGTCAGGGATGCACCCAGGAGTCAGAGGAAGCAGCTTCTGGAGAGCTCTTGGATGTCTCACCTTCCCCTTGGGCAGGTGATGGTTCTGGGGTTTCAGCAGTAACGCTTATCTGTGTATAGAGTTCAGAGACAGCCAAAAATGCTCTTAGAGATTTAAGGTAGAAAGGAACCTAGCACCACCAACAGAGCAAGAAAATAAAGTCCTCTTAAAATTAACTAAATCCTGTTGTCTTCTAACACCTCTAAAAGGCACAGGCATCAGAGCTCTGATTCTGTAGGGATGTGCACATACCAGGGCTGGCTGAAACATGCCAGCTACATAGAGTTGTTGCTTGTCCAGTGGGAGTAACTCAAAAATGCCAAGGCTGGCTTTCTTTATCTTGATGAAAACTATAGTTAGCTACTTCCCAGAATTTCTTTGTTCCTACAGTAGAATGTCCACATAGTTGAGGAGTGTCTCACCCCTGCCCTGTCCTTTGTGTGCTGCAGCTGAATGAGATGATCAGGAGCCCGGCGGAGGGGCAGTTCTGGCAGGTGGACCACATCCAGCCTGTGTACAGTGGAGGAGGACAATGCTCCCTGGAGAACCTTCAGACCCTGTGCACAGCCTGCCACAGAGAGGTCAGTGCATGGAGCCAGGAATCCTGGCCCTCTCAGGGGGAAACTGCACTTAGGCACCTCCTGAGCTCTGCTCCCTCCTGCTCAGAACCCCAGTGCTCAAAGCCTCTCCCTCCCAGACAGCCAAGGGGGAAGGGCAGCATTAACTATTACAATATGACGGTTTCCTCTGGATTTGGGAAAATGTTGTCTTAATAAACATTTGCATTTCACCATGCTGTCTACTGCAAAAACACACTGGAGTTTAACTGGAGGCTAATGCTTTCTGCTGGACGTGTTTCCAAGTATCAATACTCACTGAACCAACCTGTCTCTCTCTTTTGCAGAGAACTGCAAAACAGGCCAAGGAAAGAAGCCAGCTGAAGAGAAGATCTTTAGCTACAAAGTATGCCTGTGATATCACCAAATTTCTGGTGAAGAAGTAAAACGGACAATACATTCAGGTACATCCTAACTGTGAAACCAATATAGTTAGAGTTTTCCTCTTGCACTGATCTAACAAAATTGCTGTTATCATGCTGTTGGTAGAGAGAAGAAAATAAGTAAACCAAAGAAATTATCTGTAACATCCAAAGTACTTGATCATCATGTTTTTTAATGGCTCTGGTTTAAAGCTCAATTTCTGTGTGCAACTTTAATGCCATTTTGAAGCATTATGGTTTCCTCTTGCAGGGTAGTTAGCGCTGCAAGAATTTAAGGAAGTTCTGTTGAACCTGCTGGTGGTATTACAGAATTCAATTGTATTGGGAACTTCATGGACCTAGACGATGTCTTAGTTTTAATTATTTTTGTTGCTCACATACCAAAATCACAGAATAAAATACAGCAATTATGACAAAAACTAGCACAAGTGATTTGTTTCCTCTAGTGCTGCTCACCCACAGAAGGCTGACTCCTGGCATGGGCCTGACTTGCAGGATTTTGGCATTTAGAATTGATGTCACTTGAATTCTGGTTTTCTTTAAGCCAGCTTGTATTGAAATGTTACTCAGGATAGGAAACATTAAATATTAGCAATTATTTCATCAAAGGTCATTTCTGGGAAATGCTACAGTCAAACACTCCTTAATGAGATTGCAGAGATACGGGTCATTTTGGACTGCTTTCCTGGCTTGCTTTACAGTTACTTTAAATAAATACGGCTCTTTCTCCTGTATTTTTTTTATTGCTCTGTCCTCCTCCCCCTCGAATGCTGAGCTGTAAGCTCATAAAGCAGAGTTGTGCACAACACATCATCTTACGTGCAGGCCTGCAATTTCAATTACAACTACTTAAAATAAGCAGAGTTACCCTTGTGAGAAGAATCCTTGAAGTTATAACTTTTGAACAGAGAAAAAGACTGTTTAAGACAAGAAAGTTACATGAGTGCACTATTTTCTACAGTCAAATGAACTTTACCTGTGTAAATGATGTTTGTGGTGTCTCAGTATGATAAAGGAATCACCTCTCCAGCACTTTAAATGACCAAGTTATTTAAAGGTTGTGACCAGGTTATCAGGAATTGCCTGATAACCAAGTATGAGAGATTTTCAAGTTTCTGCAGCCTTTACAAGAGGCCACTGCAGTGTAATATTACTGCAGTGTAATACTTCATTAGAGCAGAGGAAACCAGAAGGGTTTCCTTCTGGGGAAGAAGCTTAACCTAAATTTTAGTTACCAGTAAATCAGGAATTGCCTGGTGTAATTAATTTTAAAGAAGCCACACAGTTAAAGAGCAGATACTTACTTACTTATCATACTTACCCCACTGTCTGAGGGAACACACAACCTGGAAAGCAAAGTCTGTGACAAGATTTTACCTATTAACTTTTCTTCATCCTGAAAGACATATTTCTACTTCACAGAACTTTATGTGAGGAAAAAGACTCTGATTCCTGTCCCCTCAAAAAAGTTTTAGGTTAACATGTGGGATCCTGTTACTAATAGCAGAACTCAACTCAATGTAGCCACAATGTCATTCCTGGCTCAGAGTGTGAAAGGAGGACATAGAAAAGCATGGGAATACTGAGAGCCAACAGTACGTTCATATTTATTGAGTAACATCCACAATACTGTAGCTGTTTGTACATTTGTAAAGTAACGCTGATCTGCTGATTCTCATTCAAACAGATGAAGGTTACTGTAAAGCAACATTGGCACAAGTGAGGAGCCAGAGGTGACAGAGCTGTCCCCTCCTCTCCCATGGATGACAGGGAGTGCAGACAAACAGCCTCGGTAAACAGCAGTGAGCTGCTCACAGTGAAACACCTCCAGGGTGTAATTTCCATCCAGCTTTGGCCCTTGCACAAAGGGAAGGATATAAAGTATCCCAACCACTCAGGAATCCACTGCAGGCTCTCAGTCAGACTCACTGTCCACTTAGGTCTGTCTGGGAGAAGTGATGAGATCTGGACAACCAGGAGAGTTTAGCACAAACTAGAGTATGAACTGTACACTTTAAATAAAAATAAGGCTATTTCAGAAGCACTTTAAACAGTGATTAACCAAAAAATACTGGGCTCTGTGATTATGATTAGTAATAAATATAAATCACTTAATGTTTATATATATCAATTTCTAACATCACTTGATAAAGTCTGATCCTGAAGTGTAAAGCAGCACATTCTGCATGAATTTCAACATGAATATTTGCACACAGCCCATTCAGGTCCGTAATTAAGCTAACACAAGGAAAGGAAAATATGCTCCCTTGGGACAGAGAGGTTGAAACCACTCCTGAAGCCATTCCAAACCTCGGCGATGAGTTGCTCCAGCCCCCTCTGGTGGCGGCCAGTCCAAGTCCTTGGGAAGCAGCGCACGCCAGTCCCTCCGCAGCGCTGCCCGGCCGCTCGGGGCTGTCAGAAGAAGGTGGTGTCCGCGGAGAAGGCCCCGGCCAGCCGGAAATCCTCGCGGGTCAGCACGCTGTACATGCGCTGCGGCAGCGCCTTGGAGTAGGGGGCGGGCCGGGGCACCGCGGCGCGCAGGATCACCTCCCGGCCCGCCGGCGGCGGAAACTCCGACTGCAGCCCCGGCCTGCGCTCCTCCGGACAGCCCGAGCGCCGCAGCTCCTCCTCCAGCGGCGCCACGGCGGCGGGGACCTGCGGCAGAGCACAGCGACACGGCAGGCTGCTGCCTAACGCTGGCATTCAGAAAACTGCTCTCGGAGGGAGCTTAGAAATGGGGAACACAGCTAGAGGCTTTATGTGTACACAGAGCAAAGCACTAATGGGATGCTAGGAAATAAAGCAAAGAAACCAGATGGAAGAACTCTCGTGTGGATGGTGAAACTGCCCAGCTGAAGTTCTGATGTGGCAGTGTGAAGCAAGGGTTGTGACTGGAGGAAATGGCCCCTTCTCAGACAGGGTGCTCTCCTCAGCTCCCTGCAGCTACAGAAGGCCAAGGCAGCCTCCACTTCAAAATCTACAGTGCTACTACTGCCTGACCTGTCCTGACAGTGACCTGCCTTTCAGCCTCCAACACCATTGCAGGATGGGTTTTTCATGGCCAGAGAGCCTTGCTGAAATTCCTCTGCAGAGCAAGCAAGACCCTGCACAACCCCAAGGGCTGCTCACTGCCTCAGAGCCAGGCAGCAGGAAGGGCTGACATGCCCAATAGCCATTCCCTAATTACATACACCTATGGATACACACACCCCCACCAATACCATAATAGGGTCCTTCCTAATTCAAATATGTACAACTCCACACTGGCACCATCACTGAGTGTGGTAGAAGTCACTGGCTGCCCCCTGTGGTCCCCAGCTGCTGCCCCTCTGCTCCCAGCCCTCCCCCAGGAGTGAGGGCAGCCACCCTGCTTGGCTCTGCAGGCTGTGCCACAGAACCCACCAGGGACAAGTGCCACATGTTCCCACAAGAACAGCTTGAGGAAACCAACAGAGAAGATCTTCCCTGTGCTACACTCTACACAGTTACTCTGCTTCTTTCCCAAATATTTATGTCTAGAAAGTTCCATAGCTTCAGGAAGCACTAGTGTTGAGAATGCAGCATCCAGCTAATTGTTCATCACCCCCTTCCCCCAAAACATCAACAGTGGTGGCAACAAAGAATATAAAGGCATGGCCACATACTTCAGCATCAGAAAACATTAATACTCACTTGAATAAATATTTTTGTTTGGTTTTTTTGAGAGGTTTTTTTTTTAAAAAAACATTTCTCTTTACTATGCATTATTAGGCTCTGAAAATAAAGTGTGAATGCAGGAAAACCATTCTGGAAACACAAAATTACTTCTATGCTCAACATACGAACACCAGTACAAACTAAATCTGGCTGCTGCACTATATCCACCAGAAGGTTCAGCTCTATGCAGAGAAGATGAGAGGGAAAGGAGGGACAAAGTCGGTTACCTCATCAGAAGATTCAGTCAGCTTGGAAAGGGATGAGAAAAGAACCAGTAATGAAAGACAGAAACAAAGGCAAGTCAGAGGTGACTCACAAGAGGTTAGGAGGAGACTGTAGGTTTAAGAGACATCATGCACTCCAAGAACATGCACTGGCTATCAGAATTTTCCTGAGAAAACTCAAGAACAGAACACGTTATACGCAGCTCAGAGAGGAGTCCGGGTTCAAAAGGTAATGAACAAGGAACTTATTTCACTTCTATTTACCAAAAAGCTCTCTACTGAAATAACTCATGGCAGGTTAAACACAAAGTGGGGTTTGTAGCAAGTTGGTTCCTGTCCCACTAAGAAAACTTAATTACCAGCTACTAGTGGGTAATACCTGTAACCTTGCTTTAGTTAGTGGTGTTTCAAAACAAAACCCTAGAAATTTGCACATATCCTAAGGGTAGAAACTTAGATTTAAAACCCCACTGCCTCTCTTAAAGAGGCAAGTGCGTATGTGTGCATCAGTTACAGGGCACAGTCTTGGGCTTTAAAGGTGGCTGGTTAGCAGGTTCAAGTTTGCAAATACAATTTCCCTAGCAACTAGAAGAATAAAAGAAGTCCTGATTTTCACTCCTCAGAATAACCTTGGTCTGTTTTCAGAATGGTCCTTTTTATGCTAAATTGCAAAATACAGATTATTACAAAAGCATTGATCCCTTTAAAGTGTTTAACACCCAATCACAACATTTTTCCAGCAATTATTTCCAAATGGGATTTCAGGCTGTTACCTTGTTATTACCACTGTAGTTAAATTGAGTTAGAAAATCTGATGCTAGGTGTAATTCTGATAGAAACTGAAGGCTGACTGCAGCCCGTGACGTTTGGAAACCAATACTTTCAGACTAATTATTACAAAGAGTGCTTAAGAGAAAACGGCAACATTTACATCTATATCAGCAAGAGAAGGATCTCCAGAAAATAGATGCAACACTGGCAATAGGTAAACTGAATGCATGAACTGAAAAAGAACTGAAACTTCCTAAGCATACTGGTTTCCACAGGAAAAAAATCTCATGTAGTCCAAGCATAAGCCTCAGTTTAAGAAGTTACCCCTTCTAAAATATCTGGTATTATGGCCTGTTTCTCTGCATTCCTCTGTGAAACAGTCAACCCTTGACCTTGCTGTGATAAGGCAGAAATTTGTCTTGCCTTAATAGCATCGCTGATGTTACCATTTGCAGTACATAAAGCATTACTGACACCTCTATCTACCCAGCTGGCTTCAACTGTTTAACATCCCAACTCACTCAGTCTTCCTTGGTCTTGCAAGGTTGTTACTGCCAAAATTGTGTTGAACATCACAGAAAACATCTCAAGCACATATATGACAACACATGCAGATATGCAGACAAAATACACTGGCACCATATGATAACTCATTGGCTCATTCTGGTTAAATCAGAAGTGTCTGCAGCACAACCCAGAGCACTCCCTTACCCTCTGAGCATTCACGA